GTACGAAATTACCAGGTTGTTCACGAAATGAAAAGAGATGGTCGGGAGAAAGCGGGATTCTACCGCCGGAGACACACTATTCGAATCTCTACAGAGCGGTGGAATCGAGACAAACTCGCGAATCACAATTTGTCATTACAGTGATACGTCTCTTTTTTGTTTACACAGGTTAGCTCCGCTGGGGTTTTCGTTTTATCCGGAGAATTCAGAGGAAATTTTACACACTGACAATTTCGTGTCGTGACTGGCTCAATGTTGTCCTACTACGTTCACGTTGAGTTTCAGTGTGGCAGTAATTGGTAAGGTAGAAGAAGGAAGATGTAATGAAAGTGTCATGTCATTAACCGGATAACTGAATTTTATACTACACACCTGAAACTTACTAGTCAGACACTATAAAGTTGTAAAAGAAAGAAGTTTGGTTGTGATATCCACCACCGATAACCGAGACGCGGAACTCAAGACAACGACAGATAATTTTTTGTGTAGATCACTCAAGTTGAGACAACGTGACCCACTGGAGAAGGAAACTGTGGCGCTTGTGTTTGTCTATATGGTGTGTGGTGTGGTTGTTTGTGGTGTGTTGTGTGGTGGGTGACGTGTATGAACGGACGACAGGCTTCATGATCATCGTCACGTCGTTTATACAAAGAAGTGGGGAGTTATTTTTGTGGTAATTTGATGACAATTTCTTTACAATGCGATTTTGTGTCCACGGGAAGAAGAAGTCACCCTTGTGTTACCGGAACCTCGGATTCATGTCTGTCGTGTCCAAGTCGTATTTCAAAACTCTACGTGTGTTGTTTTTTAACTATTCAGACAGACGCTTGTCCTTTCCCTGATAAACAAGGGTTTGATTTACGTTGGAAGTCCCTAGATAGTCCACCTTTACCTACGACGGTACAGTTCATTTTGTGTTCCTCCTTTCCTACCTAGGGTTCCTTGTTGTAGGAGGAAATTACTTCCAGTAGCTTTATGTCCTATAATACGCTAAGACTCAGTATAATTAATACATGGTAACATATATTATCTATATGTCACTGTATCTGTGTATAGGCATAAACAAAGTATTCGTGTGAGTGGTCAAACTCTAAAACTTTCTTCAGGTCAACAGATGTCAAGCAGGAGATGGGAGACGTCGGAGCAGACCGACTCCCGTGTGTACCGCAACGCCTGGCGGCACCTCGGGGTACGCTGAGCCCTTCTCTACTTCACCAGCCGGTCTCGGACCGACGTCCCTACAGAAGTCGACGTCCAGGCCTATGGGTTTGCTTTGACCCCTTATATTTCTTCCCCTTATGACCCAAATAACACCTATACAGAGTTTCTAATTATAGTAATGTTACTTTAGACTGACAATAAAACTTATATAACTAACAACACGAAAAATTAATACGAATTTACAAAAAAAATAATTATAATTGAATATATGTAAGTAAACATAAAAACATAAGCCCTACACCCCTCCCCATAAAGCTAGAGAGACAGACATGTGTGTTTGACTTTCTAACTGTTATTCAAACTGAATTATAACTAAATTTGTTGTCTTATTATACATTCGCAGTAAGTCATAAGAAATGTTTAGTCGTTTCTACTAAAAGTATAGTCAGGTTCGAAGTAGAATAGGTTGACGTGGACAAGGTGTCAGCATAAGGCCGTAACTCTTGACCACCTGTTATCTAGACTCTCCGGCTGCAAAACGTTCTCCTTCCGGCACTTTAAGAGTGTAGGAGTCTTATAGTAGTCGAAGTCGGTGCTGGACCTTTGTAGTTCTCTACTCTATCACTTTCCAATCTCGTTGATGTATGTTATAACTGTTGCAGACCTGATGCTCCTTTATTAACCGTTCGTGTCTGTCAGACCGGTCGCCTTTTTTTTCAGGTCGATCTCCTAAAACCACAAATTGCGTATAGGGACGGTTTTGAAAACTCCAGTAAAGTTTACGTCATTATGAGCTATTGTTATAATATAAGATTTAACTCCTTTACTACAAATGTGTAACCTATGTTACTGAGGTATCAAATAAGACATCGATTTTGTTCAGTTCACTTAATTGAGTCATTATTTTATTTTCTATATTCACAATGGTCGTTCAACCTGTAGACTTCCTAATGACGAATAACCTTCGTTGGGGGGGGACGAGGGCGGTAAATCGTTTTACCTGGCTGTAAATAGCCACTGTAAATTCATTCTGTGTAACACAAATTTTTTTTTTTCCTCTCTTTCACTCCTGATACCACTTCTTGTGTTCGAACTTGTGGTTGTGTTTCTCCTACAAGCTCTCACTTTGTTTGTTTTCCAATTCTACCTTTCACAACGAAAGTGAAGGGACAGTCCTATCGTATTCTCAAATATTTTTTAATTTCTGGGAAAAAAACCCCTTTACAACAAATGGAACCAAACATAGTTTCTTTACTAAACATACGTAAATTAAAATATCCCTATCAGCTCTGTCTGTCCTTAGTTCGGTCTATGAATTCCAGCAAATTTGGGTACACCAGACGTGGGATGGTTGGCCGGAGACGAGTCGGGTGTCGGAGAAAGAGAAGACTATTGCCCAACTCTTTTTTTCCGAAAGATTATTAATAAAATGTGAGGTCTCTTCACGAAGACAGACTTTGGAAAACGCGAAATGGATTGTGTGTCTACCCAGCAACGATTGCAAAGGTACTACAAACCTTCCTGCTGTAAAGTACGGTTTCTGCCGGGCTAGGGGACCTGGAGGGAGAGGAGGTCAGTCTCTCGAGGACCCGTAGTTGTATCCTTGCACGGTAGACTTTGTTTCATTTCTTTTTTGTGTTACTTAATAAGTTAATTAATGAAAAAGACTAATATATGTTACAAAATCACGTAATAGAGTAAAGTATGTTCGGACCACATAGTAAACATTAGGTACGCGACTCGCTGAACCCAGATTAATGCAGCACTAAATTAAAAATTGGTTTAATGTAGAAATACTCCAAGACAACTCCAGAATTCCCATATCTCTACGAAACTTACACAGAAGTGACTCAACCAACATCAACCTCTGTCTGTGGGCCTCTGGAGAGGAGACCACCCATAGACTTCGTCCCCAACAACTGCACGTCTTCTAAGGGACAGGTCCCGGTCTTAGGGACGACTGCCGTACGGAACCAAACCCTTTTACTGGACTTCTTTGTCTGTTGAGGGACACTTTTGAACTTTCCGAAGCATTTTCACTAAAGTATTTAAAGCAGTGGCGAGCCATGACTTTTATACCTAGGCCCTCTGATCCCCACCCCTTCCCTCGAGTTATTATGTCACAGCGTATACTTCAGCGGAATATCAAAACAACGGCCCGGGGTGCAAAACGCATCAATGAAAGCGACCCTCTACCACGCAAAACAACACCTGTAAATAACCCTATTTGTGTTCTTTGAAATTGAAAAGGATATTGCATTGTGTTTGTTACTTTCGTTGCAGTTGTATGTCTTAAGTGTAATTTGGCATGTTTTTATTTTGAAGGCGAGTTAACGCTGTTGACAGGAAGTTGTTGTCGCTATGGAAACAAGAAAAGTTTCACAGCGGGCGGAACTTGTCATAAAGTCCGCGATAATAACATCCACCCATTTAGAGGGAAATTATGATTGGTCAATTGTACTGTCATTTGACATTACTCTCTCGTTCAGTTACTATAGCTGGGCCCTCTGTGAATTCATAGCTGGACCGCCTGGACGTCCAACAGCTCCTCTCTTCACAGTAACTCGCAGAGACGAGCTTCTTTCATTTAACCCTTCACATTCCAACAGAAACTAAATTGGCAGATTCGAAGGATTTACTTCTTTGGAAATGTTATTTTAAATACAATTGAATCAAGTTATTTTGCTAAAACTAATGAAAAATATAACTAAATTAAAAAAATATATATATATTTTTCTAATGTTTTTAAATATTATTTTGTAGAATATCTTAGGCCCTCACAGAGGGCCTAGAGGGCCCTGACGGCTCGCCACTGGGTGAAATACAATTTAAAACTACTGAAAAATACCAGCTCACTAAAACACAACCGCTCAAATCAACGCAACTACTAACTATACCCGCAGTCAGAGAGCGGAGATGTTTACCCTTTGTGATGTAATATGACGCGTTTGACGTATGACCTTAAAAAAAAGCCGTTTTTAAGAGCAGAGCTCAAAATTGCTCCTTTCCCTCTGAATTCCTGCCCTTATGTCTCGTAAAACATATCAAATCCTACATTCACTTTTTTAATTGTAAATTTCAAGCAAGTTTAAGCATAAATGTAGAAAAAAAAAAAACCTGCAAGACGCTCTTTAAACGAGAACAAAACATCAGTTTTTTGGCATCCATTTCCGGTTGCATGTTTCATCTAAGGCAGGATGTTTTTACTTTGGCAACCACTATATCAAACCAAATAACATTTGACCTTAATTACACTGAACAGAGCTTAGCAATCATCTCTTCTCATCTCACTGACTCTTTTATGTCCTTGAAGGTTAAAGGAGCATTTGGGAAGCTGGGCCTGAGGAAGAAAAGCAAGAGGGAGAAGAATAAGGAAGGTCTGTCTACTGAGTCTGACCCATGGTCTTTTAGGTATGTCCTGGTTGGGAGAACCCCACATGTATTTGTAGTTTGTACATTGTTTTTCTTCCTTGTTGCAGTAGCGTCTTCTAGCGGATTGGTTGAGGAGTCAGGAGATGCAGGAGTTGAGGTACCAGAAGCTGTAACTGTGGAGGTCGAGGAGACCCATCCACTTCCTGAGGTCAGTGCTGCCACCATCAACTTCTAAAGCTAGTTTGGGTAATCTATAAGAGCTAGCAAGAGTACCGTAGATTATGACATTATAAGTGGAAAACCCCAGTGTCAAAAACCCTTTTCCAATGAAAGCAGCAGGCATCACTAGCTCCTACTGTATGGTCGCTAAATATAGCAACAATAAATCACACACTTCCTCAGAAGATACCACCCTTAAATTATTGTCATCAACATAAACATATCATAATGTGCATAAACAATAAACATGGTATTGTTGGCAAACACAGCTGGGTCTGATACACTCGATATCAAAATCAGATTCAGAAATCCTTAATTGGTCCCACAGTGTTGAAATGTACAGGGACAGTGCAGATGAAAGGCTAAGTATGCTAGCATATTAAATATTGATGATAAAGAGGCCAAATATGTGTAATAAAATATCAAAATGTACACAACATGGTAAAAATAAGTAGCAGCAGTAAAAAAAGTCGATATAAATATAAAAACCCAAGAGACCTAGCAGTCATTAATAACAATAAATACTTTAAAATCTTATATTTCAGAATTCAGAATAAATATTTCAGAATAATTTCAATTCAAATTAACAATTTGGAATGAAAGAAAACATTGTTTTAGCTTCTTTCTGCTTTTATTTATTACTACCCTTCTTTCTCTAATTGTCTTTTGCTAATTTTTGCCTCTCCTCCCCAACATTTATTTCATCATCATCTGCATAGAATAAACCAGCAATATTCTTAAAACGTGTTAATGCCTGACCAAAGTGTATGGATGTACATACAAATAAGGAGAAACCAGGACACAACTTCACCGCATGAAACAGAGTTGCAGATGAGGAGGTGTCCCAGGTAGATAACAGATAGGTGACATCCTGCAGCTCTGAGTATTGTCTTGTTTTTTGTCCTCAGGGTTTCCTGGGTCACACGGAAGAATTTCTGTTATTTGCGTCTCTGTTTGAGGTCACTATGATGGACCCGTCTGTAGGAACCAGACCAATGATATTCGAACTCTCAATAGGTAAACATTTTATTCTATGTCCAATTCTCAGTACTCAGTAATCAAAAAAACATCAAATTTACACTGAGTAATTAACATTCTAAAAATGTCAGAAGAACAGTGCGAAAAGACAAAGTATGTCCAATATCAATCGTCAATCAGCTGTTCTGTTTTTGGCAGGGAATTATGGGAAGGTTTTGGGGGTTGGGAAGTCAAAGAAGAGCCAGAGCAGGGAGGAGCTGAGGAGGAGCAGGGACGATCTGAGGAGGAGTAAGGAGGATCTGAATGAGGAGGCGCAGGGTCTGCTGGAGTCTGAGGATGAGCTGGACAGAGAGGATCTGCTGAGTCCTAAATCTGAAAACAGATCTGTGACTGCTCCTGCAAGACCCCAGCCCACCGAGTACGACAGGTAGGTGATCACTACACGTAACTTTATCCCCTACCAACACTATTGGATCCAAAATCTGTTTTCCATCCCTTTTTGAGGCATGGCAGCAAATAAAAGATATCCTTTTCCCCAGCCCCATCATCTCAGCTACCTTTGGGTGATCCCAAAACTTTGCCAGGTCAGATGGGATAGTTAGCCCCCCTAATGGGTTTTGCAACTTCTCAGAAGATACATAACTTGCACCACAAGATTTCCTATAGTTCTACAAACCCGGCCTCCACCACAGAAGGCATGTGTAACGGAGGGCGTCGGAACCCAAATGCAGCACACAGGAAACTGGGAACAGTTCGTAATGAAGTCTAATTTGAAACTCAGCTGTTACAAAGCAGGGCAGGTATTGAGCATAGGAAAACAAAAAAGTCCAAGCAGAACAAACCAGTAGGGAGCAGGGTTGGTCGGGGCCAGGCAGAGGATCGGGAAACCAAGATAATTGCTCGATGAAAAAAAACACCAACACCAAACAGCCACAGGAACCAGAGACGCTGAGGCAGATTGTAAGACCAGGGGCAGAAGGCTGGTAGGTTTTCCGGGGATCAGCCGAGGAAGGCAGGGTCGGCAACAGGAAGTCCACCCGGAATGAAATGCTGGCGAGTCTTGCATGAGAGCTGGAGATGGGGTTGTGGAAAAGTACTGAGTGCAGCAGGTAAGGAGAGGAAGCAGACTGTGAAAGCATTTCAGGTGTTCCTTCCCCTGTACCTGACCCCTGTTTCTGCTTCTTGAAATGTTGGTCAGAACCTCTCCCACACTGGACTCTGCAGGATATACTGTACCTGTCTACCAGTCTTTGCTGTGGCAGCTTTCTTTACCGTTGTGTAACTGCCTCCTCAATGGAAGCTTTGGACATGACCCAGTATGTTTCCATGTCTCCATGACCTCAGACCATGTCATATTAAACCCTAATGTAGAGGTGCTACCAGGCCAGGATCCATATGTTAACCATAGAATCCAAAAATCCTCAAGACCCTAATTTGTTAGGTGCTCTTGAATTGCTCCTAGTTATGGCCTCATATATGACACCAATTTGCCTTTGGAGGTCCTACCAGAAGGCACTGCTCCTATCATCACAGCTCCTACTGTCACAGGGACACACAACTCTCCATTGGTTTTTGTTCAGCCGTTAAAGTAGAGACTTATTAAGGGAAATGTCCTTGAGCAGTTCACTGAACCCTGTCTGTTGCCGATATGTATGCCAGTGCATTTAAGGGCAGCTTGCAGCCATCTATGTGTGAATGGGTGTGTGGAGGAAAAATTATACAGCGCTTTGCAGTCCATTTACCAATAAAAGCTGACAATTCTTGGAGGGGTACTATACTTACCCCCACAATGATTACTGCACACAGCCACTTGCTGTATGATTGACTGTCTGTGTCTCTCCCCCTGTCTGTCTCTCCCCCTGTCTACCTGTCTGTTTCTCCCTCTTTCTACCTGTCTGTCTGTCTGTCTGTCTGTCTGACTCTCAGGTCGTTCCAATGTCTTCCTCTCCAGCCCCCCTCCGAGAAACAGAAGCCTTGTCTGTTTGTCTGGAGTCAGTTTGAAGATCACAGCTTTCGTCTCTATCAGGCCAACTGGCTCAACAAGACAGCTGACCGACTGGTGAGACTCAAGTGATCATTTATTTCCTTTTATTTACACAGTGTCTATCACACAATGCATATGAACTGGTCACATGTCATCCTCTCCTCTGTTCCCTACTCCTCTTGTAGGAGATTGGTCTTGATGGGGTGGAAAGTCTCTTGAGGAGGCCGAGAAGTAACGCTAAAGGCCGTTTGGTGGAGGTGCTGCTGGAGCTGGTGGCCTCCTGCAAGTCAGTCTCCTCCTTTGGAAAAAATAGATTAGAATAGATTTTGTTTGGTTTGATTTGCGTTGATACCTGTCCGTCTTCTTGTCTCTCTCAATGCAGACAGTTTAGTGTTTTCTCAGACAGGAGGTCTCAGTCTCGACCCAACAACCTGGACCGGTGCAGGAAGGACTTCATCAAGAAACATTTGGTTAGTCTGTCCTCACTTAATATATGCCACAATCTTCCTGCCAATTCATTACTTGCTTCTGTGTCTGGCTGTCTTTTTTGTCGGTTGGAGGTCCTTGAAGTCAACATGCAAGTGTCCTTGGGCAAGATATTGAACCCCAAATTTCCCCCAATGGTGTGTGAATGTGTGTTAATGTTCATCACAGCTGATGAGCAGGTGACACGTTGTATGGCAGCCTCTGTCTCTGTTTGAATGTGTGTGAACAGGTGAATGCTGCCTGATATTGTTAAGTGCTATGAGTGAAAGCTTACTGGAAAACACTTTATAAATGCAGTTCATGCAGTTTACCATCTGTTTTCACCATGTCTACCTATCTTAAGGTCCTTGTTGCTAGACAAGCTGTGAGGGCCAGGAGAAGGGTCACAAGGAGGATGGCAAAACAGCGTTTGATGGAAAGCAGGAAACTCCTGAGGAAACTCCGCCTGCTGGCTAAAGAGGTCAGAAATTATTAAGTGGCCACTACAAAGATGTTAGCAGTATGTTGGGTAAGTCTGAGGTCTGAAACCCCCTACCCCACACCTCTCTCTTTCCAGCCCCAGACTACCATCCCGGACGCATTTCTGTGGTTACTGAGTGGAAGCAAGCGGTTGGCCTACGTCAGGATCCCTGCATACTCCATCCTCTTTTCATTGGTGGAGGAGCAAAGGGGGCGGGACTGTGGCAAGGTCACCACCCTCTACATGAAGGTAACAGTTCTAACACTGATGTCCTGGATGGTGCTCAACAGTCAGTCTCTAAATCTCTCTGGCTCTCTCTCTGCATGTCTGTTTAGTCTCCGGATGGTTCGGCAAGTGAGATCTTTGCAAAGCTGGAGGTTTTCATGTGGCTCGGCCTGGCCAAGTACAGTAAAGAGGCCACCAACTGTTTGCCGGAGGAGTTTCTGCCAATCTACGAGGAAGAGGACGAGGAGCAGAGGAGGCTGGTCCCTGCAGGGAGGATGAAGCTTCCTGTCAGTCTGTCCTGCCAAGGTGAGTCAACGGGCAGTGTGGCTTGTACAGACACTTCTTGTTTCTTTATTTCCACTTGGTCATAATAAAGCTTTACCTGGAATCAACAGCACAGATGTCCTCTCTCTCTCTCTCTCTCTCTCTCTCTCTCTCTCTCTCTCTCTCTCTCTCTCTCTCTCTCTCTCTCTCTCTCTCTCTCTCTCTCTCTCTCTCTCTCTCTGTGTGTCTAGACAGCAGGTACTTCCAGCTACGATGTCACATGTATCAGGGGCGTGGCCTGATAGCTGCTGATGATAACGGCCTATCAGATCCTTTTGCCAAGGTTCTCTTTTCTACTCAATGCCAAGTCACCAGGGTAGGTACAGCTATCCAATGAATGGGCATATTAAATGATGACAATTAATTGAACTCCAAAGACAATTTCCGCTAATTCAATGGGATAGCATCTTGCTTATCACTTACTGCATAGACCAATGTCTTTTAAACTTTAACCTCCATCTAATATGTACATTACACATGTTAAATGTCAAAGCCCACGGAAAACATTATACAACTGTTTCACATGTAGGACTTGTGCAGTTAACTGAAGAGTTGCCCTTTACATCAAATTTAATACATATTGTGTGTGTGTGTGTGTGCGTTTGTGTTCAGGTTTTAAATGATACGATCTCTCCTGCCTGGTGTGAAAGTTTGTTGTTTGACAGAGTTCTGCTTGAGGGTACGAGGGAGGAGCTCGAACAAGACCCTCCCCTTATCACCATCAACATCTACGACCAGGATGCCATGGTAACACTTGCCTTTTTCTTCTTCTCAGGTTGGCAAATGAAAAAATATGTTATAACATGTTTAAATAATTTTGTACATATTTCTAACAAAACAAGTTGAGTGGGACTTTGTCTCTTAATTCTTCTGCACCTTCAGGAAGTAATGCCATAACAACGTGTGTGTGTGTGTGTGTGTGTGTG